CTTACCAGAAAATACTTAAGAGCACCATTGTCACAATTTGCTAAATAAAGCAGTTTACTGCTATGGAGCTATGGCTAAAGAAATAACACAGTTAACAAGCATGTGCTATTTATTTCATAGTGGGATGAAAATCCTGTGCTGCAGCAGCCATACTGAGCCCAAATTACAGTATTAAATATTCATCTGAAGCTTTTTGCTTCAGGAAGTGTACGCGAAGAGGGATGCTTTAAGTATCCCACAAAGAACCCCATTCTGAAATTCTAGCATTAATTTGAATTTAGTAATTTTTCCCCACGTTTTAAAGAAGTTTCAAGTAGAATTAGCTACAGTATTTGAAGTTCCCAGAAAGAGAATAAAAAGTCAGCAAATTTACTTGTTTTATTGATTGTTTTTTAACTTCTTTTTTTTTTTTTTGTTAACTTCAGTTGGTTTTAGTAACAGCTGGAGAAAAGAAAGAAAACAGATTCCATCCAGTATGCCTCAGTTTTATCTGGTTTTTAATCTGTGGTCAAACAAATATAAGTTTTCTCCAACACAGTATCTAAGGCTTCTCATGAAATACTGTTTGTTTTCTAATTCTTTCTTGGAAATTCACTTTCTGGGAGAGTGTCTAGGAAGAATCTAATTGTTAGAATATCTGGTATTTTGAAATCATTTATGTTGTGCTATTTGCATGAAAATTATTTTATCACAGGGGCAACTGCAGGCAGCAGTTGGCTGTTTTATCTTTTTTCAGCCTCTTCTAGTCCCATTAAATCATGAAGTTTTTAGGACTGCGACACTTCACAAGTTGCATGGTTCTGGCCACTCTGCTCAGAGCAGTCACAGGAGGTATTAGGCGAGGACTTTCAAATAGGTTCTCAGTGACACAGCTGAGCCTAGGCTGTGATGGATCCTGACGGCCATTTTCCTCCATCCTGAAGAACATCTTTTATTTATAGTCAACCTGAGGCACTCAGGAGAAAGAGGAGATGCTCCATGGACCTGTTCTTGTTTGCCAGCAGTCCTTCAGTTGAGTCAGTGGTGATACTTTGTCAGGATGCTTTGCAAAGTCAGTGTCTTAGTGGCTGTATCATTCTTCACTTACACACATGATGGTTTTTTTCTGTGGTTGCTTCTCTCCTGCCTTTAAGAAGCATGGCAGAAGTTCAGTGACATTTCCACAGGGGCAGCCCCTTCCTCATTTGCCTCATCCTTTAAACATGGGACAAAAGGGATGCTCAGATTGTTCCCATTGAAACACTGTTGGGAAGTGCCTGGGCAGTTATATCCTTCATGGGAGTTCATATCCAGAACTTGACATGTTACTCTGCTGGATCCAGGTTGTCTGCTCCTCCTCCTGTGTATGCCACCACCACAGTGACTTGGTATTGCTCAGCATCCTCAGCATCCTCAGTACACCTGCCATACATAATCCCTGTGCATACCATACCCAGGGATTTTCCCCCTACCTTGGCCTGTACTGCAGAGTTGAGCAGGGAAATCCAAATCACTCCTTATAGCTCTCTTTGTGGCACCTGGTCTAGCTCAGCTTCAGACAGAGACTGACAAAATATAGGGAAACACTCCTGATCAGCAAGCGTCTTGCCCCTGATGCTCCAGAGCAATCAGTCCATGGTCTGGATGAGCAAACGGTCTGCTGGGTCAAGCACTGGCTGGATGGACGGTCCCTGAGAGTGGTGGTCAATGGAGCTAAATCCAGCTGGTGGCCGGTCACAAGTGGTGTTCCTCAGGGCTCGGTGTTGGGACTATTTCTGTTCAACATCTTTATTGATGATCTTGATAAAGACATAGAGTGCATTATTAGTAAGTTCACAGATGACACCAAGTTAAGCGGGAACGTCAAACTGCATGAAGATAGGGAGGCTCTACAGAGAGACTTGGATAGATTGGATCGGTGGGTCAATGTCAGTGGGATGAGCTTCAAGACCAAGTGCCAGGTCCTGCACTTGGGCCACAACAACCCCCAGCAGCGCTACAGGCTTGGGGAGGAGTGGCTGGAGAGCTGCCAGTCAGAGAGGGACCTGGGGGTGTTGATTGACAGCCAGCTTAACAGGAGCCATCAGTGTGCCCAGGTGGCCAAGAAAGCCAAGGGCATCCTGGCTTGTGTCAGCGTGGCCAGCAGAAGTAGGGAGGTAATAGTGCCCCTGTACTCTGCACTGGTGAGGCCACACCTGGAGTATTGTGTCCAGTTTTGGGCACCTCAATACGAGAAAGATATCGAGGTGCTGGAGCGAGTGCAGAGGAGGGTAACGAAGCTGGTGAAGGACCTGGAGAATAAATCCTTTGAGCTGGGACTGTTTAGTTTGAGGAAGAGAAGGCTGAGGGGAGACCTCATCACTCTCTACAACTACCTGAAAGGGCATTGTAGGGAGGTTGGTGCTGGTCTCTTCTCACAGATCATTAGTGACAGAACGAGAGGGAATGGCTTTAAACTGCAACAGGGGAGGTTCAGACTGGACAGTCGGAACATTTTTTTCACAGAAAGAGTGGTCAGACAGTGGAATAGGCTGCCCAGGGAGGTGGTGGAGTCACCATCCCTGGATGTGTTTAAGGGTCATTTATATGAGATGTTGTGGGATATGGTGTAGGGGAGAACTTTGCAGAGTAGGACTGATGGTTGGACTCGATGATCCCAAGGGTCTTTTCCAACCTGAATGATTCTGTGAAAGGCTGCTGTTTCCTTTAGTACTTTAGGAAGCTGATGCCAGATGTCTTGTAATGCAGGAAAGAGAGTTCAGTGTTCTCTGGACTACACCTGCCCAAAAAGTTGTAAGAAATCAAACTGGCCATAGGGACTTATCATGGCATCTTCAGGGGATTCCCAGCAAAACACAAGCTAAGTTATAGGAACTGTTTAGACAGAGCAACAGCTTGGCAATGCAGGCTTCTCTCAAAGACACTATGCTATAAGTTGTAATAATTATTCAATCAATGCAGTATTAACTGTTCTTTAATTCTGGCAGGAGGAACACAATCAATTTTCCTGAGTGAAATTGAGTTACCTTTTTTTTTTTTTTTTCCCCGAAGTTTTGCAGCTGAGGGCAGATCTGTGTCCAGCCAGAGAGATGCAGAGGCCAGAGGACCTGTTGCTGAAGTATCATTACCAGAGTGCTACAGAAGACAGATAATTCCAAAAGTGGATAGACAACATATTTTTTCTCTGATTTTTCGTTCCACTGATCTTTCATCTCAGAGTTTTTCCAGAAGAGTGACAACAGTTATTTTTACTGATAGTAATGCAGAAGGATATTCAATAACATTTTGGAAGTGATGTGTAGCATTTCTTTTGTTCACATGCATTCTGGTAACATATTAATGAATTCGCAAGGTTTCCAATTTTCTGTACAAATTCTTACGTCTGCGAAAATTTTCCCAATTAGTGCTCGTTATTCTAATCAGTCACACATGCCATTAATATGTGGTTTAATGTATAAATTATAATATGTAGGCATAATGTGTTTCAGCTGATAATAACAAGCAGCTCCAACCTGAAAGGTTGTAATACAGAGAAAATTTATTCACAAATAAACAAAAAGCATTCTTCAACATAGTAACACCTTCACAATACTGAACAAGCTCTTTTTAGGAATGGGATTTTTAGCTCCCAGTAGTGGGAATGGAGTTAGCCAATTTCTCAGCATGGAATAGGAATAATGCAGGATCCATCTGGGTAATCTCTCTGAGGGTGCTGTGCTGTGAGGCTTGCACAGAATTAGCAGCAGTAGAGTGCTGTGACTGTGACTTCCATAAAGAACTTCCTACGGTTGTCTCGTTAGTAACTAAAAGAGAAACAGAAGTCACATTAAGTTCTGAATTTTGAGACTAAACACTTTAAAAAAACAGTTATAGGTCAAATCGCTGAAATATCCCCCCCCTTGCATGCCAGAGTACCAGTTTGTTCTGAAGTGGTACAAGACAGACCAACAGAGGAGGAAAGCTGGATACTGAATTTCTCCGGGCTGTTTCCCTCTTTGCCTCCAGGTGAATGCATCTTGTTTATATTTTTATTACGGGAAGTATTGGCTACACTGTTGTTAGGATGTCAAAAACCAGACATGACTCAACACTTTTCTTGGTCCTTGGTTTTGTCCTTTCCATACTATCACTTTACAGAGAGTAAATAAAGATACCACCTACACAGCTAATGCATTTAATTAAGTAGATGACTCTATGTCTGTATTTTGCTTATAATCTTTATCCCGAATTAGGGTTCTTCTGAGATCATCCCTCAATTATACTTTCTTTGAAAAGAAATCTAAGTAGCCTTAGCCCAACGGCCATGAAAAGCTACGCTTTTAAAACAGCGTTAGTTCTCTCCCGTCAGCCATACTGAGGAGGTAGCGGTTTGGTGAGCGCCAACGAGCTCTGCTATGCTGCTACGGGGACTGCGCTCCCCGCCGCCTCTCGCAGCACG